ACAACAGGGTGACTCACTAAGTTATCACTAAAATGCAGGAAATAGGTTGTAAAAAAAGTGGCAGTAAGTATGTTTTAATTTATTTTGATCTTTACCATGTCGGATGTGCATGTACATCTCATTCTGTGGGTTCTGGGCAGAGGAAATGAGCATGAGCATCCCCAGGGTGGGGATTACTCTAATGACTTTGAGGGCAGCTTTGTGCACTGTAACTTCTGACCTCTGCTCATCCTTTTCTCCAAAAGAGAGACACATGTAAACATGCACAGACACACACTGGAAATGTGTGTGGACACATTGTTTTCTACCCAGATCAACCTCGAACAAAAGGTAGCACGAGTTAGGGACAACACAATCGAAGACTAAAGTAATACACAGATCCTGTTTTGCCCTTCCTCCTGCACCATCTAAAGCCGATAAGAAGTCAGACTTTTAACCAGCCCTTATTTTTTATTCTTTCAGCTGGTGTGTGCTGCTACTTGACTCAACAGTGTGCTGCATCTAACGCAGTCTGCCCACATAGCGCTGAAGTTTCACATGGGTGCCTCTCTGGAAGATCGATCAATTTATCCCTCACACAAGCATTGTGTACTGGAGGAATTGATATGAGAGTCTGCACCTTTTTTTCAACGTTGACCTGTCTTAACTCAAATAAAAATTCACTTTTGAGTTCAAGTGTTATAACAGAGCAGCACAATAAATGTCACGATGATAATAAAAAAGACTCGGGGCAACGCTCTATCAGGCCACATACACTGCTTGTGTTTTTCACTGTTGCTTGTTAGTTGCTGTGTATGTGTTCACTTCCATGGCAATGACTTTAGAGGTCTAACTGATACATTCCAATACGGAAACAATCAAAAAACAAACACGAGTCTAACAAGGCAGCCAGAGGCCAATCATTCATTTTTTACATACCACCCAAGACACTTCAAAAGCCTCACCACACAAATATATGAGCAAAGCCGACCCTCTTATCACAGAAGAAATAATCTGCTCTTTGAAATGGCAAGTACAGAAATATGTTCTTTAAAGGGGGGGGAAGCAAACAGTTATCCTCTCTAAAGATACTCCACACATTGTTGTGGTTAATATGGAATATCAAAATATAGCAGTGCCACTGCCTAGATCAAATAAATGTAATTAAATAAATTGAGGAAGAAGGAAAGCTGCTTGGCTGTAAATTGCATGGGGTGTGCATGCTAAGACCCGACACTGGCACAGCTGCACAGAGCTGCACTCACTATTTATCATTTCTACATTGCAGGAACCCGCGGCCCACACCACTATTAATCATAAGCAAAATCATTTAATTCAGCCCAAGCCCGACTATTGTCTCAGTTGCTCCCCTCACTCTGGGCAAAGCAGCCACCACAGCAGCCGCACACACACCTCAGATGGGATGCAAGTGTTGGGTTAAAAATGACTTTTTCTCACTTATCCAGGGAGGGGTGTGGCGGTTGGTCGTGGAATCGCGTCACCAGTGGCAGAGAGTTTTTTTTTTTTTTTTTTCTTCGTATATTTCACATCACCTCCATAACTGCAAAGGCAGAGTTGATCTTGCAGAGTTTTGTCAACACGCTGACTGGAAGTGTCGACGATTTTTATACGAGGTGTCCACTGTGGATGTCCTGTGCTCACACACCTGCACAAATGTGACTAAACCTGACAAACTCACATAGAATCCGTCCTCAGAAAAGTCAGTTTTCTTCATAGTGCATTACGTTGGTTTTCCTGTTTGAAGAAACAGATTGTTCTGGAACTGTGAAACAAGAGGCCCACAACACTACCCCCTGTCAGAAAACTTACCAATAAAGGTTGTTTTTTTTTCCAATGTGTGTTCTAGATATGTGGCCTTTTCCGTTAGCACTACACTACACTAAAATAGTCAAGATGAAAGCTATGTCTCAACACCAGATAGAACACAACATTTAGTAGAGCAGCACAGAGCCTCTCCTGCTCACCACAGTGGCTGACTTGAACCGCTACCTTCTCCAGCGCCCCCTCACATGCCTATCATGGCTGCACCCTCACTGCACCCTTTCACCCTCAGCAAGTTTGCTTCAGGCCAAAGATCCAAACGCATTGACAGAAAGGATACGGCTGAGTGAAAGCACAAACGCCAAATGATGACACGCTAATAACAGTGAGCACTCAGTGTCCGAAGACACACAAAGACACACACAAAGACACCGACAGGAGGAAAACACGAGAAAAGATAAGTGAGAGGGGCAATGTGGAAAATGTAAAAGCACAATAAGCTAACATATAGAGATGTAATCTTTACATAGTGTCATTCAGGGAGATATGATTTAGATTTGAACCTAATTCAGCCAACAGACATTGCAAACACTTGTGCACACACGTACGGAAAGGCACACGTAGACACATAAAAAGAGAAAGACTCTCACAAACACAACCAGACACACTAATCAGAGGTCAGAATTTACAATATAATGAACAGACAAATGTCAGACATAAAACCATGTCATTTCTATGAAAATGGTGATGTAGGAAATATGTTGAAGGAGTAAAGATCAAATAATGAAAGATTACGTTTCTGATTGATTTAAAATAGTGACAAATATTACTCCAAATGAGAAGTCTACCTGAATGTTTTGCAGTTGAATTTGTTAGATGAGTAGAAAATATTGAGTCTTCTGTTTGACATAGTAACACTGTCAAATTGAGGCCAAAAGCATATTGCAACATTTTCTTTTATTTCATTAACTTACCTGTTATAGTGCACCTGAATCTCTTAACGCAGGGTCCATGTACCAAAGTGCATGATTGTTCCAACCTGAATCAATATCCTGATTTTTTACATTTATTTTTTACTTTGACAATGTTCAAAATGAATGTTTCTGGTTACTTTTGGCTTGCTCCTTCTTAAACTGGTTTTGGGTTTAAATTCTAGTAAAAGGGAGCAACAGCAGCCAAAAGAAACAAAGCTGAAAAGTAAACGTGACGTTTTATTTAACGTCTCTATCACAAAAGAAAAGAAACCATATTCAGATAAGTAAAAAGAAAAAATGAGAAACTTTCTTTAAGACAGTTACATACATTTATTGCATATCATTTAATTGTATGAAATGAAAAATGAGCACATATGAACATCACATATGGTTAGTGAGTGGTATAATTTTGCACAGCAAAATATATATATATATAAATTTATATATACTATATATAAGATGAAAGATTAATTAACATATTTTCCAGATTTATTGGTGAATGGTGTTCTCTCTTTTGTACATGCAGGGTGACAATCCCTGAAGATTTATCAATGTCCAGACATTATTGGTTTTAATAATTAGTCATTGCTTTGCAAATATGGACTTTAACAAAACAAAAACAAAAACAAACAAATAAAAAAGCAATACTTTTCCTGAACTGATGAGATGCTGTGATTGAATTGTAGAAGAAAGATGAACCTATCTTTATGAGAGGGGGAGATACACTCTTTTCTCTCCTCCACGTGAGGCAGGCGAGATTCTTTTTCGTGCACTTTCAGTACAAAATCATAATTTGGTGAAGAAACACATTCCCAAAGGTGTGGCAAGTGGCTTCGACTTCAGAGGTGAGAATTATCTTCCCCAACAATCTTTTTTTCATCTTTCATTCTATTTTATTTTACTCTCCATTTTCTAACACAATAATTAAATGCTTGGCGACCAGAGCTTTGACACCTCAGGTTTAAATAACATGCTGCAAAAGCGCTGTTTATGCACTGCACAATACTGCTTTCTGTATAAATTGGAGCCAAGCCAATTTTTCTAAATCAATGTTTAAAAAAAACAAAACATTTGTGCTGCAATCTACTTATTCTACGTCTGTCTCAACCTGTAGCACGTTATCTTCGCAACTTAGATTATAAAACTTAAATTACGCTGTAAAAATTATTCAAGGGTGGACAAATGCACAATGGAATATCTTTAAATAACAATATAGGCTTATGACAACGGACTAAACTTCCAGGAAATGGGGTCGTGGCTTTCCTTAACAGTGAAGTCTTTTCGTTTCCCCTCGAATCAGGATCCCCGCCGACAAACTTCCATCAGGAATGCTCTGCGCATTCACTGCAGCCAAATGACAGCCGATGGTGGTGCACTTCAACACAGTTGAAATGGACTTGCACAGATTACAGGGGGTGGGAAGTCCTTTCACTTTTTTGTCGCTGTCCCAAAAAAGTGAGGAGGCCTAAATAAAGTTATGAATGCCATGCTGAAGTCACAAAAAAAAGGACATCGTCAAGCACAGAAGGAAATAAAAGACAAAAGAAAGAGAAAAAAATAAAACCATACATGTCCAGCATGCAGGGCCAGTCCAATAACACATATCTTTTAAAACAATGGATAGTTTGTAATGAATACAGTCTTTTGTTGCTCAACACAATAACAAGCAAACGCATGAGATGAGGTGGTGTCGAACGGCAATCCTCCAGGTTTGGCAGACAAAAAAAAGTAAGAAAAAATACCAAAAAACACATTGTCGATGGATGCAGTTTTAAGAGGAATCTGTACATTGAATCAAAAGTAAAATGGTGAAAAAGGGCACGTTGATGAACTTCATAGGAGTATACTTAGTTCTTGCATGCACACTTTGTATACTGCTGCGTGAAGTTGGATCAACTTTTGAGAGAAAAAAAAATCGCACTGCAAATCTAATGAACAGTGGTGAAAAAAAAGGCCTTGACGAGCAGGCTATGCAGAATATACTGAGTATGGTAGCAAAAAGTAGATGAAACTTTCCTGAATATGCCTCTTCAAAATGAAAAATGCCGATGACAAAGCCCTCCGATTCTAAAACAGTCGCAGACTTGAGGAAATATTTGATTCCCAAAACTGTATCAAATAAAAAATAAAAAAAACAGTCTAGTCGACTTCGGGCCATAATAATAAAAAGAATAAAAGAAAAGTTTCGTATTGAAAACTTTTTTTTAAAGCGGAGTGAGTAACTCATCTGATTTCTCTTTTCTTTTTTCGCGATAATGTCGAGACTCACATGAAAAACTCCGGAGACGAAGGGTTGTTGTCACTGCTGGATCCATTTTCTCTGAAGCCGTTGCTGATGAGCTTCTCGTACTTTTCTTTGTACGCGTCCCTCTCCCGGACCAGCCTGGAGATCTCCTGCTTTAGGTGGTCGACCTGCTGCATGAGCTGCGTCTTCTCCCCCTCCAGGACGTGCCGCTGCTGGACGCGCTTGAACCGGCAGGACTGCGCGTAGCCCCTGTTCTTTAGGGTCCTCCTCTTCTGTTTCAACCTGATCACCTCTTCCTTGCTGACCCCCCGTAGCTGCCGGTTGAGCTCCCGCACGGACATGGTCACCAGCTGCTCGTCGGAAAAGCGCTCCTCCAGGCGCATGTGCGGGTGACCCGTCCCCGAGGTGCCGTTGGACTGGACGCCGGCCGCCTGGTGGTGGCCGCCGCCGCTGCTGCTGTGGTGGTGGTGGTGGTGGTGGTGGTGCTGCCCTCCGTTCTGAGCGGCCGCCGCCGCGATGACCGCCGACACGACGGCCGCGGCCGAGGAGCCCATCTCCTCCCCGGCCATGGCGCCCCCTGCCCCGGCCATGGCGCCGGCGAACTGCTGGCCCCGCGCGTAGCCATCGAAGGACTGGAGCTGGTGGCTGCTGTTGATCAGCGCCTCGACCGCGTCTTCGGGGCTGAAGCCCAGCGCCTCTGGATTCAACTGCTGTTGGTAACCGGACATCCAGTAGAAATCCTCTATGTGTGTCTTCTGCTCGCTCCCCGAGCCCGGACTGGGCGCCGAGAAGCTTGGGGAAGGGGGCACCGAGCTGCAGGGCGTGCTCATCGGGGTGGAAGACAAGGATCCCCCGGCGATAAGGCGACTGCACTGGCTGATGTTGCGATCGGGCTCCACCGGCTCCTTTTTCACTTCAAACTTCATCAGATCGAAGTCATTAACATATTCCATGGCCAGGGGACTGGTGGGCAGGTCGGAGTTGCTCATTGCCAGCTCTGATGCCATCCTCTTGCTGCTGACAGTCCTCCAAACTGGGTGAAGAGCAGCTGTCAAACCGGGCTGGTTTGGAAGAACGTGAGCCAGTTTGATTTTTTTTTTTTTAAAGCGTTAGTCTTGAAAGTGAAAAATGAGGCTTTTCAGCGTCCCTTTTCTGCAGCCGCGGACTTGCAGGCGCGTGAGAGGAGTTTTTCTTTGCAGAGTCTATTGCACAGACACAGTAGTGCCGCGCGCACGAGCAGCGGAGTCCTTTTTCAGCATATGAAACACGGCGGTTTTGTATTTCAAACATTTAACACTTTACGGCTTCTTCGGGAATACATTACGCACGCGGAGAGGGAAACAAGCCGAGAGTTTTTTTTTGGAGTGAACGCAGCCTCGCACGTTGGAAGCCGTTGACTAGTGGGGCGATTTTTTAGTGGGATCACACAGCAGATGAGTTTAAGAGCATTGTAGCTGCCCTGACGTCAGGGCTCGAAATGGGAAATTGACTCGGACGAGGAGCCAATAGGGTCGCACACTCAGAGAGCTAATTAACATATCAGTAGCCTACAGAAACACAACTTTTCTCCACTGTCAGAAGCCAGCAGCTGACTGTCAGCTGGGACGCAGGCTGCACTGCCCCGGTGCTCTTTCAAAAGTCGAAACAACCATTCTATCACTGAGCAGGATTACATCTCATGCAGATACTCCTAGGGAAAAAAGTAAATGGTGAAAAGTGATTTGCACATGAGCTTCAGAACATTTACTAAGCACAGAAAAAAGACGCTGATAGATAGATAGATAGATAGATAGATAGATAGATAGATAGATAGATAGATAGATAGATAGATAGATAGATAGATAGATAGATAGATAGATAGATAGATATATTGTATTTTACTATTTCTCATTCTTCCTATTCATGTTGTCATACATTTTAATTTTTATTTAGTGTAATTTGCAAAACAAGTGTAACTTTAGACACTACAAAGGCTTGATTTAATTATTTCTGTAGTTAGGTCATTACAATTGGCATGACTCGGATATAAAACAATATATAGTTTCATAGTAAATCCCGATCATTGATAAAACAAGAAACGAGTTGAAGGGGTTTCACGTGCCTCCTCACAGCATTATAAAACTCAACACTGCCACCTTTTGGTCATATCACCACAAGAACTCCTTTTCCTCCGCATCAGTCCAAACAGAATGAAAGTTCTCTTAAAGCGATTGGAAAACTACCTTATTAAAACAGAGACACTCTGTAAGGGCGTTATGTGTGTTTCCTAAAAGAAAGAGTAAATATATATCACTGTGAATTGTAAGGGTCCAAAACTGAGGGTATATTTTGTTAGTTTGGAGGACATCATATCAGTGGGAGTGAATGACAGTGAACCCAACGTTCTGTCCAAACAGTTATTATGTACAACTGTCATAAAAGTCCCTTTATCTGAGCTCTGGCCCAGTCGTTGCTTTAGGGGTCATATAAACCTGGCTACACATTGCTCTTTATCTCAGTTCAGAGGTCTCCTCCTTTTAATTGACTTGTGTACAACAGTTTCATGAGGCAGTCTGAGATTACCAGCTCCCTAATGTGTGTCCTCTGTAGCCCAGGCTCTATAAACGGGGCTATGCATTTAGATCCTGTGATAGTTATTGTACCCTTTTTATCACAATCCTGTTTTCTTTTAACCTGAATTCATAAATGTTGATGATATAACTTTAGGGAGGAAACACCTTAGCCCTTTACTGTGTGTTGGCAAAATGCCACCCGTTGATGACCCACAACAATTTACTCACTGAAACGTAATGCATTTTGTCAGAGAACAGAGGGATATAAACTGTACTAATTGGCCGGTCAGAGGGTTGATTCCTTTTGTGGCCTCTTTTTGACATGTGCTGACAAATAACCATTTCTTTCCTGTAACAAAAGCCTATAATCAAACTTTGTCTCTGTCTCCAAGTGTATGATCTCATCTGTGTGTATTTTTAGACTTTTGGGTCCAAGCTATTTAATGATAGGCTAAACAAGTTGTGTCCATACAGCCCAAGGCAATCGAAGAGGATCCTGACAGTCTAACAGATATTTTCCTGAGTTAAGGAGTTCAGCAGTCCTCTGTGGTTGTCTGAAAGGGGAGCTCAGGTTGTGTGCTTCTGCTTTTTTTTATTACTGCTTTAACTGCAAACAGTTCTAGTTGACTTTAGAGTGAATGTTCCATTTGAAATATATTAAAGAAGATAAAGTAATAATTAATACACCGTACTGAGTTGATGATTGTCATGTTTTTCTTTGGACTTATTTTGTTCATCGAGCAAATATCAAGACTCAAACGCGTGCTCATTATTACTCGTTTACAGAATGTTTAGGTAAAAAGGCAACCGCACGTATCAGGATTTGTGTTTAATACATCACTGTGCATGTGGCAAAACTTAAACAAAACCCTATTGTTTCTATTTCCATTCTGTTGCCTTGTCATCTGTTTGGGCTTACCTGTTCATGGGAAGGCACAGCAGTGGCCCGTTCCCTGGGGTACAGCCACAGCAGAGCGAGACTAATATACAAACGAAGGGAGAGCTCATTAGTCATGACAGAGGAAAGTGGCGGACCTAATTTAGCTGCTTTTGTGCCTTTGAAGTTATTGATGATGTAGAGCTGAGAGAGATCTACATGGAAAGAGATTGGGCCGCCGTGAGAAGATCTCAAACCTGGAGGGAGGATATGTGGAGAAGGAAAAGCAACACGGGTTGTCTCACAAAGACGTGTAGCGGCGCCATTAAGTGTGTGAATCCAATTTTCAGTCTCTTTACTCATTTATACAACAGGGACATATTTGAATTGATTGCAACTTCATGGAAACTGAAATTGAGTTGATCCTCCAGTGACTGGATTTATACCTGCAAAATAATAATAACAGTAATAATAAATATTCATTCATTTGTTTAAATCTTAGTTCTTTTCATCAGAAACTATTTTGACATGATCGAATGTAGAGTTTTCTGCAGTGTGATGTGACTTTGTCACTAGTTTGTTAATTAATTTCCGGAATAGTCAGAATATTGCATACATTTATAAAAAATGTCTTTGCCCAGATAGGCAGACCACAATTCATGCTCAAACTCTCTCAGAAAAACATACAAAAATTTAAAAGCACACCTTGCAGAAGTCAAGTTCTGGCTACTGTCTGAAAAATAAGAAACTCAGCTGTTAGTTGCTATTTTGTTGGGATCTAAAAGTAACAATCCTTCAACTATATCAGTACCGTGTAAGCAGCATTTGGATCAACTGATCTGAAACCCTCTTGTTCTGGAGCAGGCAAATGATTAGAAGGATCAGAGGTCAGTGTTTTCAGTGTCTTTTAGACAGTGTTGGTGAATGTGGAGGATGTGGGACTTACTCAGTTCCAGACAGAGATAAATAGACCCTTTAATCAGGCTCTTTGAATTCCAACACATTTGTGAGCCTTCCTTAACCTGAATCTGTTACTTTTACCGTACTGACACTTGTGAAGATCTGATAGCCCCTGAACACACAGCAGGTTTGCACAGAGAAGTATGGGCTCCAACCGCCTTTCAAATGATAGCATACTACATTGTTTGAGCTTTGTTTTAACTTTAAAATTAAGAGGAAAAAAACAATATCTGTGTTGTACATAACTCCTGACATGAAGAGATGGTATTGCCGTGGGGCAATGCAATTTCATCAACAGTGTGGTGAGAACCGCAAAACTGGAATATCAATTTTCACCCCGCTAACAGAATGTGGGCACAGCCATGTCATAATTACCTTAATCCATTAGTCAGAAAGAGGGCGAGACTAAAGGAGGTGCGATGGTGGACAGAGCAGACAAAACAAGGCCAGGAGGAGAGCACGTTTGTAGTCTGAGGTGGCTTTTGGACAGCCTCTCTGACACTGGGGGAAAATATTTTGGACCCTAGAGCCAGAGGACTTTATGTGAGTGGAGAACTTTGGCATATGACCCGGAGCTATCCGCTTTTTGAGTTGACGGCGAGGGACCAACAGTGAGCCAGTGAATGTGTTACAGTGCTGTGAACGGCAGGCTCACACGTTTTCTAGACTGTCTCAGTGTCTCACATTGCCTGGGTGACATAGAGAAGTTTAATCTCATTCCCCCTCCAAATTAATATTTTCTCAGGTCAAATAACACCACTGCAAATAAATGCTTTGTGGTCTGTAAATATAGGGAAGTCTGTTGACCCCACGCCGAGTAATCGAAGAAAACTAGTCAATATTGCTCAAGAGTTGGCAGAGTCGTTTGCATATTAGCCATAATTACATTCATAGGAACATAATATATTGGTTTATTGTCACATGCAAGGTTAATGTGTATTGCAAATAAATGATATATTAACTGTTTCACTACTTTCCTGGGTTGTGTCCTTGTTTCACACGATGTAGACTTTCAACTTTAACTGTGTGTGTGTTTGTGTGTCTGTGTATGTGTGCAACGCCTAAGTGTGCCTCTTTAACCTCGTCAGCGTGCTCTCGGAGTGTTCTGTCGGTTCAGGCACTTCCATGTCAGTTTTTTAAAAGTTTAATGTTGAAACAAGAAGCTGCCCTAATTTTTTTTATCACCAAAGTGGATGACTTTAAATAGTTATGAGACAAAACATTTAGCAGTGAATAATGTAAAAAAACAGAAAGGATTCAATTGTTTAGAAGTTTTAAAAAACCATTTTGGTATATGGAAAATTCTTTCTTCATGATTTAAGACATTATTTCCACAATCTCTAATTCATCAAAACAAGGAAAACAGCAACAATGTTTTTCTGGACTCGTCACCCGCTATACAAGTTTCTGGCAAGTCTCATGCCTCCAACCCCCTCTCACCAGAGCTGCAATGCCCTCCAGCCACTGCATCCTGGAACTGACAGTAACAATAAAGTGGAGTTTTCACAATTACAGAGAGGCAGCAAACTAATAAGGGCAGAGACACATAAGCTGGAAAAGGATCAGAAGACAGGCACTCTAACCATCCTGTGCTGATTTATAAAATACTGTTTTTTAC